CATTTACGTTAGATATTTCAACATGCTATTAAACTGTTGTCAGTCGTCATTTAAAATCCGAACATCATTGGTAATGTTATTGTTTAATGATTATGCAAACAAAAAGTCATTTTATTTGTTTGTTGATTTTTAAATATAAAACTTGAAGTGATTTATATGTCGGTACTTTTTTAACATCTCCAGCACATGTTAACAATACCGTGATAATTTTAGTCACTATAATCGTGATAAAAATCGGAAATCGCCTGTGCTATTTTACTGCCGAGGTACGTATAACTTTGACAGCTGTCTGACAAGTGATATTAATAAATAAATAATGTTATTATATTTAAAGTGATAGTTTGGTTTGCACAGATTAAAGCTTAATCTAGCTCAGGACTGTTTTGATTATTATAATACTATAAGGTGTTTTAAGAGAGCTAATATTGTGAATAAAATAATTTATCCAAAAATAAATGTCTTATCTCTAGGCAGAAAAGTCATTCAGTTTCTTTTTCATACAGTTAATTAAATGGTGAATGAGAAAGTCTCTGTCTGTCATCTCATTCGTGTGTGCCAGATGTGTTTGTTTGTATTGTAAAAAATAATTGTATATACTTGTAATTGTACAATAGTAATAACATTTTGACATTTTCTGAAAAGCTTAAGTGAATAGTGAAGTTTTATTTATTAGTTAGAAAATGTGTAACTCAGTATTTTAACTAATTGTAAAAGCTGACTAATAGAACAAAGCCTACTGTTTAATCAGTGAAATGATCAACATTTAGTCGATTAGCGGTTATAATAATCGTTAGATTAATCGATTATCTAAATAATTGTTTGTTGCAGCCCTATCTAAATCACTTAATTTACAAAGCTCAGTCGTGTGCCAGACTTTTGACAGTCTTTTCAAACTATATTTAAATCTTTATTTAGAACAAAAACTACAGATATTTAAATATCTAGTTAGAACAAAAACATCCAATATTTAAATCCATATTTAGAACAAAACCAACCCATATTTAAATCTCTAATTAACATTAAATCAACTATATTTAAATCTTTAATTAGAACAAAACTGACCAATATTTAAATCTCTAATTAGAACAAAAACAACCGATATTTAAATCCATATTTAGAACAAAACCATCCCATATTTAAATCTCTAATTAACAACCAATATTTAAATCTTTTATTATTACAAAACTGACCAATATTTAAATATCTTAATAGAACAAAAACTACACATATTTAAATCTCTAATTAGAACAAAAACAACCAATATTTAAATGCATATTTTGAACAAAACCAATGCATATTTAAATCTCTAACAATCAATCAACCGATATTTAAATCTTTAATTAGAACAAAACTGACCGATATTTAAATCTCTAATTAGAACAAAAACAACCAATATTTAAATCCATATTTTGAACAAAACCAATGCATATTTAAATCTCTAACACTCAACCGATATAAAACCAATGCATATTTAAATCTCTAACACTAAATCAACCGATATTTAAATCTTTAATTAGAACAAAACTGACCGATATTTAAATATCTTAATTGAACAAAAACTATAGGTATTTAAATCTCTAATTTGAACAAAAATAACCACAATTTTAATTTCTAAACAGCACAAAACAAACCCATATTTAATTGTCTCAAAAGAACAATATCAACCAATATTTAAACCTCTAAACAGAACAAAACCAACCAACATTTAAATCTCTTAATTGTCTTTAATTGCTCAGACGTGCACCCAAGTCACTGCGACACTGATATATGTGCTAGACAACACTATACATACAATATAATTAGATCTAAATCCAGAGGAACTGCTTTTATTGTCCTCATTTGTAAGTCGCTTTGGATAAAAGCGTCTGCTAAATGACTAAATAAAAAAAAATATTGCTCAGCCCTAAAACTCACTCTATGGTAAAGCCCAAAGTCATTATAGACATAACAGTATGAGATATGACTTGACTTGTAAGGGTGTTTTTTACCTAAAAGGTTTTGAAAGTGCCTTTTGCTCCGATATGAGGTGCATTATGGATCTGAGGGAGCATTTCGAAGGGTCTTAAATATGGCTCATAATTGGTGTGTTTCTCACAGTAAGTCGGAAACTGATGTCATATGTTACCGGGATCGTCTGGGAATTTGAAACCAGAGTCCATTTAGGTTCTTGAATGTGTTTCAGTTCTTAGTTTAGCTCCCTAAATAATCTAATACACTTCCTGTTGGAAATGAAGACCTTCGTTTGTGTTTTTTAGAGCCTTGGTGACCTTTTCCTGTTGTTAGGATTTATTCTGATTTTATTGTGTATTATATGTGGATTGCTCAGCACTTTGGACTATGTGTGTACCTGTAAAGTGCTTAATAAAAAAGACGAATGAAAGAGTTTGGCATTGGTCAATGTAAACTACAGGAAAACGCCCAAATATGATGATTCACACCGGCCTGATCTGACATCTGTTTGGGTGAAACTGGACATTTTGTTGGTCGTTTAACATTGCAAATGGACTCAGACTCTCACAGAGAGTGTCCACACCCTGCTTCAACTTCTTTTGCATTGATTGTCTTCTAAATTTCCTGTAGTTTCTGTCACGGAGACGTCATGTTCTGCACGTCTTATGTTGCAGCTGAATGTCCATGTGATGCTGTTGTATAATGGGGGCTCTCATGCAGAATATTTGCTCATTATGTTTGCGCTTTGGGTGAAGGATGTTGAACTCCTCCCTGAGCTGTGGCGCTCTGAATCACAGCCAAACTTGGCCATGGAGCCGTTTCCTAATATGAGCATTGGGCGGTGTGTGTGTGTGTGTGTGTGTGTGTGTGTGTGTGTGGTGTCATGCTTTCTATGATGTGGCCTACTAAACTCCAGCTTGATTTGGCCTGTTTGGAGCAGCACAGAACAGGGTTTAAATGTCGTGTGAGAGCGTTTCAAAAACCGTTCAAGAACATCTTCAGATTAGAAATAATTTACTTAAAGAAAAGCTTTTGGGATGTTTTCTTTTTGCAGTATCATGTAATTTTTATGCTCGGTATAATGCAAAAAAACTGATTTTCATTATTGTAATGTGGAGTTTCATACTTTGTTAGTACTGCATTTATGCTGACTTTAATAAATCAATGCATTGCATTGCATGTGAGGTTTACATGCATGTGTAATACTTTCAAGAATTAAGAAAATGAAGCCTGGCGGGTTTTTGTTTTGTTTTGGGGGTTTTTGCATTGTCAAATTTCATGCCATTCTCATTACTATAATGCAAAATAATATATATTTTCATTATTGTAACGAGGAATTTCATACATTGTTAGTACTGAGTTTAATTAATGAAATCAATCAATGCATTGTAATTATTGTGTGTCAGTGTTTATTGTCTTTTATAGCCAGGCATAATTTAGTACTGTGGTATTACCATGGTATAGTGATGGTATCAGATGGTAATACCAGGGTACTTTGATAGAGACCAGTTTACATGCATGCGAGTTTTACAAACAGATTTCAAGAACATGTCCAGTCCAGATTAGAAATAATTTATTTAAAGAAAATGAAGTGTGTGTGTGTGTGTGTGTGTGTGTGTTTGCATTGACAATTTTCATGGCATTCTCATTAATATAATGCAAAAAAAAAAATCTGACTTGTATTATTTCAATGTGGAATTTCATACATTGTTAGTACTGCTTTTACAGTATGCTGCCTTTAATTAATAAAACAAATCAGTGCATTGCATTGCATTGTGTGTCAGTGTTTGTTGTCTTTAGTGTCGGGCTGAATTTAGTTCCTCAGTTTCATTCAGCTGTATAATACTCAGAAATAGCAAGTAAATTTCACAATTATTTATAACGAAATGGCAAGTAACACATTCAATTAAACATGAAATTCTGAAGTAGAAAAACTGAAGTAGTATCTTTTTTTTTTTTACAGTGTATGGTGAAATAGTTTGCTTATTTTAGTAGGATTTATGTAATTTGTGTGATTTATTTAATTATTATGATGTATGTGATTCATATAATTTCAGTTCATTTGCAAGTCAAAATGTTTTCCAGTTTTCAAATGTATTTTGTAAGCATCAATAGATTGAGTGTGCAGTTTTCCTTCAGTTCTCTAGCGCCATCTGCTGAGCAGTTGAAGGCATTACAGTACAAATCAAGATGGATAATAGTTTATCATTGGTTGAGTTTGAAATAATATTTATTTCCCTTTTCCAATTTTCAGGATTATCTTGTGCACATTATCGACACCCGGGACCTTCCCATCAAACCAGAACAAGTGTGTTCACTTTTTGGGAATATTGAACACATTTATGAGTTCAACAGGTAAGATTTGAGCATGATGACTTAATATGCATTTTACATGTTTTTATGCAATGCATACATATATTTATATACACAAGTACAGCAGTGTCAAGTCAGTATTGGGTGCTAAAAATGAGGTTGCACTGGGATGAAAACGTGATGTAGTGTAATTTAGAGAGCTCATAACTCTCTAACCATACATGCGAAAGTATATTCAGACACCATCATTGGAATTATTCAGGACTCATCTACTGTTTAGAAATTGTATTTATTCAGGCAAATGAAGGAAGCAGCAGCTGTCAAGTGTCAGAAGTTGTGTGGCTTTAGATGTGGGACGTAAATAAACATGGTGGTTTGTTTTTGGTCAAGAGTTTTGGTACACATGCTCAACTAATGCTCTTCACGCCTGTGTTTGAACAGTTGCTCTTTAACAGCGCATGAGCTCGACTAGTGCTGTAGGACTTTAAAGGAACAGTTCAGCTGAAAATGTGCTGTAAATGCACTCATCCTCAGGCCATCCAAGATTAGGATGAGTTTGTCAGTATCTGCTCTACTGTTATAAAGATCTCATTGATTTACATTACAAGCATCAGATTTTCATCACTCTTTGATCATATAAATATCAGCATCTGCATCAAATTGTATATTTTTGCTCCGTTTGAGTCTCTGAATAAATCTGTGCTGTTTTTTCCTCCATATTCTCACTGTATCAGACTATATGAGCCAGAAAAGCCTGAAGGATCAAATATGATACTCAAGAAAAAAACACATGTGTAAACTG